CTTCCATGTAGCTTCATATACTTTATAATATTCTGCATGGATTCTAATTAGTATTGAAAAAGAAATCCTATTCCTGCTGCCACAGATGCTTATGTTGGATCTCCAAAGGTACAACAAATAGATGTCCCTGCAGATTTAACTTTTCAACTTTCCCTGTAAGAATTCTTGGTTTATTCTCTTGGGTCAGATCAGAACTACTAGAATAATAATTTCTGCTTTGAGATACATTATCTTTTCTGATTATTCTGCTCAGGCAGGGGAACTGAGAAGTTGTAAACATAAGGTTTTATGGACTATAAAAATAGCAATGTAGTCCTTAAACCTTAAACATATTTGGCCACTGCTTAAGTTGTAGATAGAGTGGTTATTCAGTCTTATTGAATGCCTAAGTATTCAGTGCCTAAACTGGATATATGTTTGGGACATATGTTCAGAAGTAATAGATGTTAAAATTTCTCTCTACTTCTTATATATTTAAATTCTAGTAACAAACTAAGAATTGAATTGGCTCCTTTTAGATTTTAATGGTAGCCTTTTCAATTCTATAGTAAGGGTTTTGAAACCCTCATTCATTTTGGGATATTTTAAGGGATCGAGTGTTCAAAATGAAATGCCAAGTAATTTAGTGAATCGGGGCATTTCCTACAGCCCCACCAGTTTCATGTTTTTATTCTGAGTTCTTGAAGAATTCTTGTAATTGGTTATTACTTTTCAGATGCATCTGAAGCAGTTTATCCATATTTGTGAAATATGAGACCATAATGTTTCTCTGATATGTTCTCATCATATCATTTCTTTTTTGGGTAAGTAATGTTATGCAGAGAAGATGTAAGAAATAATAAGTCTACTCATACATTCATATCCCCAAACAATACATCTTTAATGTCATCAAAGATGGTCCTTATACTTTCAGTCAAAAATACATTAAATGAACAAGATGAAAGCACATAATCTAGTCTTACTCATGGGTCATTGTTGGATTATTCACTAAGCATCTCATTGAGTTTCATACCTGTTTAGTTCCATTTTATCCTAGGCCTAGACACATTTAGTAACCAGTTTTGAATCTAATGTTCATGCATAAGATTCTATAATTCAAGCCTATTTACTTTATCTAAAGAGTACCATTTTTTACTCTTCGACCTGCTGAAGAGCAAAAATAGTCTGCCTATCACCTGTCCATTATAGGACCAAAAGCTAAAATAGATAAAGATTGCTTACTCTCCTCCCCCCCCTATATTCTTTTGGCTACCTTTATTCAAAAACATATTATATTTGTGATAAATTATCTCTAAATGCCATAAATAAAGTCATGTATATGAGTACATATTTGTGTGTGCATACATATACCAAAACAGGCATTTATCCATCCACTTTGCCATGATTAGATGTCTCTGTTCTATTGTGGAATATCTTCTGCTCACAGATTATTATTTTTGTCTATGATGCATCTGTGAAAATTTGCTGAAGATTAGTTCCTGAAAAATGTGATTGGATATGTAGAGTGTTGAGACTTTTTGCTATGAATAAAAATAGATGGTTATGAGAGGGAGGCATGAAATTGGAGTTCATCGGTGAAGACAAGTTAAGAGTTAATTATTTTGAATGCTAACGTTCCTAGTCTGAACAACTATTTTAGTACATCAAGTAATGATTATAAAGATTCTTTCAAAATAACATATGTCAGAAATTATGTAATTGAAAGAGCAATAATTGCAACATGATGCAAAGAACTAAGAATAATAAATGTAAAAATAATAAAGGCTTTAAAGGCTGTGAGAGAAAATCCTTTTAATAATGTCTAATAAATTATGGTACAGATAGAAACAAACAAGCACTTGAATTAGATATAGAGGTCACTTTTTTCTTGAAAGGTGATTATATTTAATTCTCTGTTCCATAATATCCAGAGAAAACACATACAATGGTAAAGAAAATGAATGAGGAAATTGTATTTTTAAAACATTCGATACTGGCCAAACTCTCTGTTATCTCAGAATTAATATAAGCCTTTGAGTGGCAGCAGTAGCATATAAAGAATTAAAACATTATTATTAAATTATGCTTTAATGGAAAAAGATTGTTTAGTGGAGTACCATTTAATAGTAGAGAAAAGATGGAAAGTCTTTTAACATAAAATTGCATGTGAAAGGAGAAGGATAGCCAACTGCAAGAAGATCTAGTTTTTTAAAACTACTGATTGATTTGGAACTAATGCAGCTTTATTTTGGAATTTTGTATTAAAATATATTACCACATTTCAAATAAAAATATACCTATTTTAAATAGCTATTTTATTTTGGAAAATAAAGAATTGAATTATTACTCTTGCTTGGGCATATTGCAGCTGATTTTTTTTGAAGGCAGTTGTTATGAGATACAAATTACCATTGTGAGTCCACTTATTCCACATAGGGTCAGGACTAGCCAACAATCCAAGAGGACCTCTAAGTTGTAGATTTGATTGTCCTATCAAGAGAAAACATTAAGGCTACCTAAGAACTTCAATGTACAAAGAACAATTCCATCTTATTTGGGTTTAGCTTCAGACTATTTTGCCCTATCTGGATCAAGAAAATCTTAATATATTGTGTTAGTCTTACAAGATAGACCATATAGTAAACATAACCAGATAAGCTAGTTTCGGCGGGAGGGGCTACAACAGGGTTTAGTTACAGCTTGATTGGTCCAGAGACTGAGGGATTTTTCTTAAGTATCCTCCTTTCCCTCTTGACTCCCAGTTTCCTTCAGTCTTTGGTCCAAGCACTAGCTGTGGCTCCAGCGAGGTACAATTAAACTTGTGGTTGTTAATTTGATTAATTGGATATCCTAAATGCGGCCAGAAGAGACTGTTTCCAGTCTCATGGGGGAAAAGGGGGGGCTTTGCCTCCTACCCTGTGGCCATTCAAGGAGCTGCCTGATTCCTCTGAGCGCAGGGGTAGCAGTTTCTCTAATAGCAGTCTCGGTGGCTCAAACGCGGCCTCTAGCAATTTAAAACTCAAAAACTCTGCCGCAATTCAATTCTATCTTTCAGCGTCACCGCCAGAGCTTCACCGTGGCTTCAAAGAGCTGCTGTGGCCTGATTAATTATCGGAGGGCGCTTCTTTAAATTTGCCGAATGGCGCAGCGCAGCCCGTGGAAACAGGAGGACTGCAAGTCGGCGCAGGAGTCTCAAGGACTCGGTTCGTCGCGAGGCTAAACCCTCAAAGTTATTTATCCACACTCTGTGATCTCCCGGTTCACCACCCATGAGACATGGTGGCCATTTTTTGTGCGGCCTTGTAAGCGGTGGCCAGTTGCCGCAACATCAGCAGCGGTCTGCATTGGGGCTGCTAATCGAGGTCCACAGGCAATCGGGGCATGGAGAATTTGCGGGGCCAGTGAGAGAGTGCCCCTATCCAGTGTCTGCAGTGCACTTATCGAGGCCGACAGGCACCCGCAGTTCATCCAGCAACACGTGAGTGAGGCATGGCCTCCATAGTCCAAGAACCTGTGAAGGCCCAAGGAGATCTAGCAGAGGAGGGCCAGGGCAGACTTAGGCCCAGGGCAGTGGCCTCCAGGCCTCCAGCCGACCAGCGCCTTTCCAGAGCAGCCGCTTGAGATGAACCCAGAAGACAAAAAGCCCTGGAAAAACAGGTGGCTAGAATGGAAAGGCTGGCTCAGGTGGTTAGGCCTGAATCCCCCAGTAGATCTAGATCTATGATTGGGCCCCGTTCTCACACCTCTGGATCTCTCCCTAGGGGTTTCAGTCCTTCCTGCCCCTCGATTTCTCCTGCAAGGCCTCACAGGAGGGTGGCCTCTCCTTCCCCCCCCATCTCACCTAGAGCTTATAGGGAAAGGGTTGAGGACACAGGAGAAGGGGGATCTTGGGACTACCTTCCAGCAGCCCAACTTGCCCCCCGGGGGCCTCCATTATGGGGCCCTTCCGAGGAAGATTTGGAGGATTTGGACAAGCTGCCTGATAGTATTAGGCAACTCATCTCAGCAGCTATATCTATGGATGTTTCCTAAGAAACATCCTTCCGAAGGGGTGCCCTGGCCACCCGCAGTCTCCAGCCGCAGTTCCCCTTCCTCTTCCAGG